GAACCACTTTCCCCAGCCACTTCCACCCTCCCTGACTTTGCATACGCTTTGTTTCTGACCTTGGAATGCACTCAGTTCTCATCTCCACCTCTTAGAATTCCTAGCTAATCCTTAAAAGCTAAGCTCAAATGCCACTTCCTACAGGAAGCCTTCCCTGATCCCCCCAATTTCCTTGACAAAGTGCCATAAGTTTATCTTATGGTTTACTTGTCTCCCCAGATAGAACTGAGCCACTGTACTCTTCCTTCACGAGACCTCAGCTGGAGTCTTGTGTCAACTCTGGCTCTCCCATTTTACAAAGGACATTAAAAAGCACTAGAGGGAGGAATCCTGATGGTGAAGGGCCTTCAGTCCATGGGTCCATGTCACATAAAGACTGATAGAAGGAAAGAGGCATGTTTGTTCGATTCAGAAAACAAAGACAAAAACAGACCAGTCTTTGATGACGTTCTGCCACGTGTTTATAGATAGGTCGCTACCAGGCGGTTCGAAGGGGATTGGAGAGAGTTCTGATAACCAAGGGCATCGGCAAAGGCTTCCTGTGGGAGATGGTGCCTCAGCTGAGGAATACGTTTCTCCTAGAAAGGGGAAGGAGCTTGGGAGGCTGGGATTTCAAGGTATAAGTTGCCGGGGTCATGATCTGCTTGCCTCAAGCCACACATGGCAGAGGACTCAAACCTAAGCCTAGCCTCGTCCAAGAATGGCACCCTGGAAGGGTTCTGAGTCATGGGCACAGCCACGCCCAGCTAGTCCTGGGCCTCTCCCTCTTGGCACTTAGCTCCCAGCTCAGGGCTAGAGTTGCTGAAAATGTTTTCAGCCTGCACCTAAGTGCCTACCATAAAAGCCACTCCCAGGGGGGCCTTGGGGCTGGCCACAGCCCTGCACTTAGTTTCTGGGGAAGCCACATGTACCACATCCTGGACAGCCAAGGTGAGGGGCCATGGGGAGAGGAGACTGACTAGTCTTTGTTTTCTCTAGATAGAGGGTAGCTTCTCTGGTTCAAGAGCCCATTTCCAAGAGAACAATTGTATCACCATCATCATCATCATCATCTTCCAACATTTCATCAGGGTTCAGCCCTTACATCCATTTATCCCTCAATCTAGAGTAGATGCTGCTTTTGTCCCTATCTTTGTGATCTTGGGTAGGAAGCATAAGCATTATTACCTTCCCTGCCCCCATTTTACAGGCTCAAAGATAAGGAAATTCATTCATTCCTGAAGCATTTCTTTTTTTAAAATTTTTTTTCAGAAGCATTTATTAAGCACTGTGTACCAGACACAAAGATGCAAAGATGAAAGCAAAACAGGCCCCTGCCCTCCAGGAGCTTCCTCTCTACTAGGAGGAAACAAGACGGTCATAGATAAGTGAATATAAATGATAAATGATATCAATGAGCATTTATTAAGTCCTTATTCTGGGCCAAACACTGGGGTATACAAAGACAAAAGGGCCTTCCGGTACATAAGTCATGTGAGGGAAAGCACTTAACTGTGATGGGCCAGGAAAGGTTTCTGGTAGGAAGGAGAAGGCAGTCAGCTTGTGAGTAGAAAGAAACTAAAGACTGGGAGATGCAGCCTGGAGGTGGGAGTGCATTCCAGGAGGGTGGCAAAGCTTGGGTAAAGACACAGAGGTTGGATGGGAGGTGGTAGATGCCAGGATTCCTACTCAAGTCCTTTGACCCTGAATCCAGGGCTTCCCCCACCCCCTTCTAACTGTATGACTAGGCTGTGATGGTGAATGGGAGAAGACATTCCAGGTGGGTTTGAATTTTGGCTCTGCCTGTATGATTGTAGGCAAATTCTTTCCCCTTTCTGGGCCTATTTTCTCATCTGTAACATAGGGGTTGGCTTAGATGCCCTCCGAGATCCAGTCAATTTCTAAATCTTGTGATCCTATGAGGACTGCTTCTGACTCTAGTTCTGTGGATTTAGCTATCAGTTCCCCTCTCTGCCTCAGTTTCCTCATAGGTCAAATGAGGGGTTTGGACCAGAGAGCCTTTAAGCTTCCAGCTGTAAATCTCAAATCCTATGAACTAACCCAAGAGCAGAAAGGGTTCTTGGCAGGGAAGGTGAAAATTGGTGACTAGTTTGGTAATTAGGTCATTAGTTTGGGACCAATCCAGGTTCACTTTATTTAAATTCAAATGCTGACTTCATAATGACAGCAACAAAAGTCCTAAGACCAGAGATTCCGAGCTGGAAGAGGCCTCAGAGGCCACGTGGCTGGACCCCTTTATGGTGTAGACGAAGAAACAGAGGCTCATTGAGAATAAGTGACTTGGAGCTGGCCAGAGGTCTCAGAGGCCAACATTTCATCACCGAAAAGTCCGAGCAATTGAGGTGACCTGTCCAAGGTCTCATAGGTAGGGAGCATCAGACATTGGATTTGAACCTAGGTCATCAGTCTAGGTTTTTCTGGCCTCAAGTGGCCAGGGTTCCCCTACAGGGTTCCCCCTATTCTACAGGGTTCCCCCAAAGCGGAATCAAAATTCTGCTTTGATCCCCCACTTCTCCCCAGCCTGATTAGACACTTTAGAAAGAGGAGGGGGCAGATAAGTGAGGGATGAGAAGTCAAGACAGAGAGCAAGCAGAGAGCTAGCCAGGCCTGGGTCTGGGGGCCAAAAAGCCATAAATTCCGAAGAAAGGGAAGTTGTTTAAGCCAACGTGCACCAAAGGACCAGACAGCCGAGAGGGGCTGTGAAGTGTTGGGATCTGCAGTTCACTAGAGTTTGGTGGTGCATGTGTGTCAACAGTAAAGGCAAAACCCTAACCCTACCCCCCCCCACTGGCACACCCCCAGGGTGTGATGCACTGGTGTCCTGGGGAACAACTGGAAACCTTGCAGCAGGGACCACAGGAATGTGGCCCAGGGTCAGGGTCATTGTCAGAAGGGTGAATGTGGCTTGTGTGGGGGTGTGGGGGGCTTGACTGTGGCAGAGTGGTTAAAAAAACCCACACCATCCCCAAATGGATGTAATACAAGTTCACACTGTCATATACAATTTTCTTTCTTGTTCTGTTTTTCATATTGGAATGTCTGTGTTTGTTGTTAAGTTCATGATACAAAATCAAAGGAAGATAAAATGTACAAAGGAAGCCACCGGAGCACTTGATTGGATGGGCTGGGAAAGGGGGGCAGAGAACCAAGGCTGGCTTCTTGGGTAAATGAGAGACATGTTTGTATTACCCACCACACAGAGTAGGGGAGAACGCCATAGATGACCAAGATGATTGTGCCCAAGAGGAACCTGTGGGTATTCACAGAGGCCAAGTGGATGGTTTTTCGCTGGTGGAATGGGCCATTCTGCTCAACTGTAAACATAATGCCCCACATGTCTCTAGTTGGTATAAGATGCAAATAGTACGTCATCATTCCCATTTTACAGACAAGAAACTGAGGTCCACAGAAGGGGGGAGTGACTTGTCCAAGGTCATTCGGTGCTGAGATGCTCCCAGTTCACTCTATTTGTGGTTGGAAGAGGCTGGGAGAGGGTCGAGCCAAGGAAAAGGAGCCTGGCCTCTGGCTCCAGGGGCAGAGGTAGAAGCGGCGCATCGAGTATCTACATTCTCCCACCCCACCCCTCAGTTTTAGAAGCCGGTGTTTCTGGGAGCGCAGACTCTTCTTCAGCTAATCTGGGACCCCGGGACCCCCAGGTTTCTCCTGCTCAAGCAGGTGGGAGCCTGTCCACTCCCTCCCCCCCGCCAAGGCTTTCCTCCCATCCTCCTTTCCTCTTCTCTCCCTCCCATCCTCTCTTCCTCTCTCCTTGCTTCCCATCTTCTTTCCCTCCCTTCCATCCTCCCTCCTTCCCACCCCCTTCCCAGTCCCTGCCTGCCTCCTCCTTGCCTTCTCCGTGCTGACTTCGGGCCAGCAGAGGAAGGCTGTCTCCACCCACCTCTTGCACACTCTGCCGTCTCCTTTAAAAGCCGGAGCAGCTGAAAGGGTGGCAACTTCTCCTCCAGCCAGCCTGGGCTCTCGGCCCCGCCAAGCTCCCGGGCCCAACCCAGCCCAGCCCAGCCCAGCTCCGGCCAGCTCGCCTCTCCCGGCTCCCTGCGGGGGGGGATCCCCTTCACGCCTGCAGCCGCGACCTCCCGAAAAGCTGCAGGACCACGTTGATTTGCCATTCTAAAAGATTTTGTTTTCCTCTCAAAATAAAAAAACCCAGCCCGGCTTGCAGGGGCGAAGCGAGCCGGGGGCCGCCGCAGCCCAGCGCAGCCCAGCCCAGCTCTGCTCCTGCTGGAGCCGCCCAGACGAGAAGCAGCTCGCGGGCACGGAGTCCACCTGTGTCCGCCCGAGGGGGCGCCCGGGAAGAGGCTCAGCGAGGCGACTCTCAGGCGCAGCCCAGGGCAGCGAGGCCCCGACCCCCCCCCCCCTCGCGACTGGGACAGCGGCCCCTCCAACGCCCCAAGGCTGCAACACGGGCTTTTCTCCCCGGCTCCAAGTGCCGCCCCAGCCCAGCCCGAAGGCGCAGAGGGGGTGCAAAGAAAGGGAACTGGCCGCTGGGGTACACCCAACTTCGGAAAAGTTTCCGGGGGGCTCTGGCCCGCTGATTTCCCCTTTCTCCAACCACAGATCCTGAGATTTTTTTTCACGTCCCCCTACCTCAAATACTGCAATTAAGCTAAGCCTGGGGGAGAGAGGATTCGCCCTCTCTCGCCTGTCTTGGGGAGTGCCAACAGGCGTGCCCTTTTTTTCTGAGGGGTCAGGAGCCCCAGGCTCCGCAGCCTTTCCCAGACAGCCCCCTACTCTCTCCCCACCCACACCCCGGGGGACGGTGGATGCGCGCTCCGGCTCGGGATCCGCCCGGGTAGCGCCCCCAGGCCGCCCCGAGCGCCGGCGCCAGCGGCTGCAGGAGAAGGACGCGGCCAGAGCGGCCCCAGGCTCGCTGGGAGCCGGACGGGGGGCGACGGCGCCCCGGGGGCCATGCGGCTGAGTGGTGCCGGGGGCGGCGGCGGCACCAGCGGGAAGAGCCCGAGCGCCTGAGCCGGTGGGAACCAAGGCGAGCGGAGCCGAGCGCGCACACCCTGGCCTGGAAGCAGGCACGGAGGTGCCCTCCGCCCCTGTGTCCAGAGCCCCGCGGGGCCGGCTGCGTCGGGATGAATTGCTGCGCGCTGCTCTTGTCTTTCTGGTACCTGCGTCTGGTCAGCACCGAGGTGAGTGCCAACGACCAAAAAGGCTTTTTTCATTCTTGCCCCCCATCTCCAGCCCTTTACCCCCTTCGCCCCCTCCTTTCCCTCTTCTGCCGAGGCCAGTGAACTTCCCACCCCAACAGTGCCCATACCAAACGGGGCAAGGATTCGGGGGTACGGAGAGGAAACAAGCAAGGCTGGGGTTGGGGGGCTGGGGAGCAGGTAGGGATGTGCCGGTTTGCGGAGGGTTAATAGCAGCTCTCAGATCAGAAGTTGGGTCAGACATCTGAGTTGCATCTTGCCTTTCCTCTCTTCCCCTCGGCCCCCCCCCCCCCGCAACAACAGGTCAGAAAAAAATAAACAAGTCCTTTTCCTAGATGGGGGGGAGGGAGGATGGAAGGCTCTGTTCTTCCTCCTACCCCAAACCCTTCCAGCAGGCGCGGGGGGGGGGGGCATTTTGGCTGCCGCTTGTGGCCCGTTGGGCCCCCTCCCGGCCCGCTGGGGGGGGGGTGTCATGGGGTTTGGGAGGGTCACTGTCCAGTTCGGTAAGACTCGGGAACCCAGGCAGGGGTGGACGCCCACAGAACCGAGGTGCCGCCGGGCTGTGGGAACGGAGTGGGGCGCAGTCCAAGCCCCGCCCCGCTAAGGTAGGTGGGGAGGGGGTGCGGTTCGAGCAGTGCCGCTAGGAACGGCTGACTCGTCCTCCCGCATGCACTGAGGCATGGCTTCGGGAGGCGGGAGATGGCGAGATCGCGAAGATCTGCCGAGCCCCGGGGAGCGGGGGGCAGAAGGACAGCGGCGGGGGAGGGGGCGCGTCTACCTTAAAGGCACGCAGACATTCCCCCCACCTCCCGTCCCGGGCGGAGGCCCGGCTCGTACCTGCGCCTCGCCCCTGCCGGCCCGCCGGGTCAGGGCCCGGGCTGGGGAGCGCGCGCCGGCGGCTGCCAACGTTTAGCCGCAGGGGAGGCGGGCCACAAAAACGTCGGCAGAGAAAACAAATCAGGTCGGATTCACGCAGTAGTGAGTTGGCTGGCCTGTCGGGAATCCAGGTGGGAAAGGGGCGGGGCGGGCGCGGGGAGCACAGGAGGGGAGCGGGAGGGCTCCGGAGGCGGGTGCAGCGCGCTCCTGCGGCACTGAGGAGGGGGCGCGGGCCGCGGGGGCGGGGAGGGGAGGCCGGGCCGCGGGGGCGGGGGGGGGAGGGGAGGGGAGGCCGGGCCGCCGCCAGCCCACCGCATTTGGACCTCGGAGTAGCGGCCGCGGCCGCCGTGGTCTTTTGTTCTCCCGGTTCCTCCCGGAGCCCCACCCTGGGGCAGCACCAGGGCGGCCGGGGGTGGGGGGCGGGGCGGGAGCAGGAGGTTCCCCCTGTTCCCCACCCCCATCCCCAGGCCCGGCCCGATACGACCCGGAGCTAGCCGGCGAAGGAGGCCAGCTGCCCTTGCTGCCGGTGCCAGGGCGCCCTGGGGACTACGGGCCCCCGACCCACTCACCCCACGCATGCCAGGCACGCACGCACGCCGCCGTGCCCCCCAGCCCCGCACCCCCGCCGCTGCCGTACTGTGCGCCCCAGATCCGCGTGGTCCCGCAGCCGGCGTGCGGCCCCACCTCCTCCACCCCGAAGCCGGCGCCCTCCCCGCAGCCTGGGGCGGGGTCTCCCACCAACAGGTGGGTCCCACCCGGGGCTCCCTGACACAGAGGGCTTGTAGGCGAGGCGCTTGCAGCTTCTCCGTCACCCCGTCACTGTCTGTCCTGCTTTCCAGGGAAGGGGAGGGTCCTTCTTCAGCTTTCCTCCATCACCTCTTCCCCCTCCTTCCGGCCTCCTAGCCCCTGCCTAGCGACCCTCAGAGCCCTGACCTTGGCAGTCTGGAGACTCCGGGATTCCCATTCCCCCTTCTGTGACCAGGGCAAGGCACTAACTCTGTCTGAGGCCTCCTCTTTCTCATTTGGCAAATGGGGATGGAGAAGCATCACGGGAGCCCTGCTGGACCCGAGTCCGGCGAGACGCCCGGTTGCTAACTGTGAGGAAGTTATTATTGTTATTATTATTACTATTACTGCAGTGTTGTGGGAAAGGATCCTGTAGAAATATCTTTGGGTCAGGACCCCTCTGACTCAGCTTGGTGATGACAGGGTAGGGGCTGGGTAGGTCTGGGAGGCAGCAAGGCCTGGGTTCACTTCCCCTCTGTAATATTAGCTGTGTCACCAGAGGCAAATCGCCTAACCTCCCTGAGCCTCAGTTTCCTTATCTGCACAATGAGGGGTTTGGATTGAATTGCCTCTAAAGGCGGGCCCAGGTGCTGACAGGCTGCTTTTGTGGTTGTTGTTGTTTATCAGTCCTTCCTCTCTCGGGCTGCCAGTGTAAAAATGGGGCTTTGGAATGGAGGTCGGATCTGCCCCCTCCAAGGCAACCGGCCCTCTAGGAGAGGCTGGGGTGCTGGAAAGAACAGTGCCCTGCTCAGCAGCCCTGGATCCATATCCTGGCTCTGCCCCGCAGATCGGTGTGACCTTGGGTAAATCACCGCCTTCCTGGCCTCCTGCTTGCCACTTCCGCAAAAGAAGGGGGTGTCCCAGATGATCTCAGAGCGCTGACATTCTGTGATTTGTCTGGTTTGGTTTTCTTCCCTAGAAGGAGCATGGGCAGAGATGACCCAGCGCTCCTAGGATCCTGCCTTTGCCCCGGTTCTGCTTTTTATTTTTAAAATGAGCTCATCTCAGTCTGAGTTAGGAGGTCTGAAGGGCAGTTCCATAGTGTGATGGGGCTTTTCACAGATCCTGGTAACTTTCTCTATTGTGAGCTGCTAGGGTCCCCTGCCATACTAGCCATGGGGCAGGCTTAGACTAACCTTGCCCATGCCCCTACGGAATGCCTGCTTGGATGGCACTCCAGGGCTTGCTTTACTCCTGCCAGCACTGTCAGCTTTCCAGATGAGGAAACTGAGGCCCAGGGTCACACCACCACTAGTCAGTGGCAAGTCATAGACTTGGGCTTGGACTTTTTGACTCCTGTATTTACAGTGCCCCCAGGTATTATAACTAGAAGGTCACCTTTCTCTATAAGATGGTTTCAGAGCCATCCTGGGCCCAGTCTGGGAGGAAGCAGGTAGGAGAAACAGAGGGGAAGGAAACTCTCAGAGAGAGAGAGAGAGAGAGAGAGAGAGAGTGTCTCCATCAGCTGATTCCAGCACTTGGTAGCGTGACTGCAGCTCTCATGTGACTTGCTGTTAGCACCCTTTTGGGTCACAGAAACTCAGAGCTGGAGGGGACCTCAGGGGCCCTCCCACACCCCAGAAGCAAACCTCCTACCGTATCTTTCAAGCAAAAGCTTGAGGAGCTCCAGGGAGGAGGATGCCCTTAGCTCTGGAGGCATCCCAGCCCTGAGGGAGGACTTTCCTGACCTGCAGCACCCCCACCCCAATCACTCTTGGACTCCTCTGGGGCCCAGCAGAACAAAGCTAACCCCTTGCCCATATGACAATCCATCATATACGTGAAGTCAGCCTTCAAGTGTTCCCTTTCCCCACTCTTATTCAGACAAAATGTCCCTAGTTCTTCCAACAGATAGACACAGTCATCACCATCCCCTCCTCAGGGCACTCCAGCTTATCTGGAGATCCCCAAATGGGTGCCCAGAACTGACCACAATATTCCAGATGCAGTCTGCCCAAGGCCAAGGACTGGGGACCCTGGAAGGGATATTCCCCTTCATGAAGCCTAAAATTTCATTGATCAGTTTTTTTCTTGGCTTTCTTGGCTGTCAGGCAGTGATATGGAGGAGGACTGAGGAGGTCCTTGGCCATCTAGTCCCCATGTGTTTTGTTGAGTTTTTTCTTGACTGTGAGATATATCCTGATATGGAGAGAGGAGAACGCCACCCCATCCCTGGGCATTCTGTGCTGGCTAGAACTGGTCCCCCAGCACTTTGGAAAGAAGAGAATGGGGACCTGCCCCCCAGCATCCAGAAAGGGAGGAACCCAGACAGACACCTTTTAAACAGGAGGTGGAAAGAGGGGAAGCAAGTGAAGCTGAAGGTCTCTTTGGAAAGATTGCTATATGGAGCTTCCCAGCAGGAAGAGGGCTCCTGTGGGTAAGGGAGCTTCCTGGACCAAGAGAAGGGAGGCGGCCTGGTTAAGTGATCGTGGTTGGGTACAGCTTCACTCCACAAGGAAGGAAGAAACATTTGTATCTTCTTTCTTTTTAAAGGTTTTATTGTAGCTTTTAAAATAAATTACCTCCCTCAATGGCTAGTTCCACCCCTTCCTTCACCATGGAACCCTCCCTAGTTCTGGAATGCAAACAAGCTGGTCCACTCTCCATAGCTGACAGTGTATACCCTATTCTGCAGCTGTAGGCCACCACCCCCCAGAGCAGAGGGGAGATACGTTTTGTCCTCAATCCTCTTCCTCTTTTCTTCCGGGCAGTACCTGGGAGGGTCATCATAAGCTCTGATGGAGCAGCAGCTGTCCAATGAGGAGGCTGGAGCACAAGCACCTTGTAAAAGTGGGCAGAGGGCACAGTGACCAGGCTTCAGATACGCAGTGGCAGGACAGGGAGGAAAGTTGCAGAAACAGGAGATGAGCTGAGGAGCCTGGTGAGGGGCGAGCAGGTCAGGGAGGGATTGTCTAGCTTTTCATATCTTGGGTTGTTCGCCCAGAGATGCCACAGAATACCAGGATGTTAGAGCTGGACTCAGCCTTGGAGGATATCCTCTCATTTCATAGGTGAGGAAAAGAAGGCCCAGAGAAGTGAAGGTGTTTACTGTGGCCCCCCCACTCCCCCCCACCCCAAGTGAATAGGGACTAGAGTGAGTTCTGGTTAGGATCCTGCAATTACACCAAGCTGCTATCTGAAAAGACTACAGCATCTAAGGCTGATTCAACAAGCAATTATTAAGCACTTTCTGTGTGCATGCAAGCTTCTTTTTTTTTCCCCCCTGGGCCTAGAGCAATCTCAAATACAGCAAGTGCTTAATAAATGTTTGTAAGGCCTCAGCCAAGGAGGTAGGGAAACATATACAGTCCCTCCCTTCA